TCCTAAGTCCTAGAGCACCTTCTTCTTGCTCAAAGTTTTGTCAGTTACCAATGCAATCCCCTGGCTAATGCCCAGAAGCCAGACCCAGCGCATCCTTGTATGTGTTTTTTCTATCTGTTCTCTGTCGTTGGGCTCTGCTTTGGCCTGCTTTTCCACTTCAAAATCTTGAAGGCGGCTCTACTGTTGCTTTCTCCTTTCCCTTTTGGCAGGAAAGAGGAGCTTCGAGAGGCCTTCGAGGGCCTTTCGAGAGACGCTTTGCACAAAACTGGCAAAAGTTTGAGAGGTTTGTTGTCCACTTCGAAGGGACACGCCACAGCAGGGCGATGGCCATATTCCAATATCCTTTTGCCCTCCCCCCCCACAACACCACCTCCTGCATCCAGTAGGCTTTTAGTAGGTCTCTGTTTTGACTAAGTTTTTCTTGCAAATTGCGTTCCCTTTTCGAAGGGAGTGTCTCTTAGGGATCGAAGTTTGCAAGTCTCTAATTTATTTATTTAAAAAGATTTCAGTAATGCGGCGAAGTCGGGGATGTTCTAAGGCCAAGAACAGCCCAACTTAGCCCACTTTTAGTTAATTTTGTGTTTTTTTATTAAACACTTATGGCCTTCGATTCCTGTTTCTTTTATCCCGATTGACAACAATCGGTTCATTTTCGATAGAAATTCGATTTCAGCAAAAGAACAAATATTTTAAATATATTTCACGATACAAATATTTATGGAAATCGATATACAATTGTTCGAAATTTATAAATGATTGAATAAATATGATTCATAATTTAATAAAAAAAGAAAAAAATATGTAAATATATTTACATTCGTCTTATTTATATCGGGAGATATTTAAATAAGGGCATTCCCGTTCTAGCGTTATTTTACATTCGTAAATTAAAATGGTTAAAAAAATAATGAAAAAGTCAAAATTAGAAAACAAAATTATTCTAGTTGATTAATATTTGGTTAGCCCTATATTCATCAAAAAAATGACAAATATCGAATGTACGGTTTTAAAGATATAAGCCAAAATATAAACTGTCCAAAAAACAGAAGTGGCTTTCGAGGTTTGAGTACAAAATTGCAAATCTCTGCGGATCGGGTAATATTTTTTGTATAACTTTTTGTGTGCTAATTTTTAAAGTATTGAGTGTTAATTTTCCAAGATATTAAATGTAAAAACCTCTTTTGTTCTTTAATAAAGTCCGCGGCTGGATCTTACGTGGGTTACGCTACCAAAGTCTGGGGTAATAAGAGTTTAAAAATATATCGTTTCTAGGGTTTTTTGTTTTAGATAGTTCAGCAAGTTAGAGAGACTTTGAGGAAAAACTTTCATCAAGAAACGTCTCTCTTATAGGGGATAAAAGTAGGAGAAAAGTTAGGCCTCCAGCGGGCCCTACATATGCCAATATGTCCCTTAGTTATACGGATTCAATAAGTAGAGGAAAATATGGAAAAAAGTATGGAAATTGGGAACTTTGAACAATTTTGATAGGTTTTTAAATCAAAAGTAATGAATTTATATGCCAATTGTTTGAATTATTTAAGTTTCATTCAATTTAGAAAATAATATCTGGACAAAACCATATGGAAAGCGGTTTTCATTGACCTTTAATGTTGCGGAAATGCCCATATTTCATATATATATTGTGTATCGTTAGATATGTAAATATATCAGATTTATATCGGGAGGATCTTTCGCTTCAAATCAGATCTCTTTGAAAAATTGTTCCTGGAGATCGAAGAACCCTTTCGGAAAGATAATGCAACATGCTTCGAGTATAGCTTCGCTTTCATCCGATTCTTTTGTATTTCAGTTTAGCTTTGAGAAAGATCTTTTAAGGGTCTTCGGTCCACTTTCATCGTTCCTCTCCTCTTCTCAGCGTTCCTCACAGCTCCTGAAGCCTCTTCCTTGGAAGAAACCCCTTCAAAGGGTATTCCAAGCATCAGTAGCCTTCATTTGCGACTTGTCTTTCAGTGGCTTTCGTCATTTCCTGTCGCCATTTGGTCTTTTCTTTCTTTTTATCTTCTTCGCTGTAGGTGTAAAAGAAAGGCCAAGTATTGGTGTGTGTAAGAAGCAAGTGTGTGTGGGGGTTTTTTTTTGCATTTTTTGCATTTGGCCGTTTGGCAATTGCGAACTCTTTTCGCTCTTTTGCCGGCGGATGTCCTTTAACGTGGTTTCCAGACCACTGCCCAGCATGCTTTTGCTTTCTTCACGCTCTCCTCCGCGCTCTCCACGCTCCTCTTGCAGTAATTTCACTTTGAAATTTCCTAGTCGCCGCTGACGGAACGGAAGCGCGCTAGTTTCCTCTCCCAGAGCACCCAGAAAGGGGGGACAGGGGGACAGGGGCGAGGGGACAGGGGACCTGTTAGTTAACTCGTTTTTTTTTTGCCATCTTTGGACTTGTGAAAAGCGGAAAGGGCCTTCATTTCCGCCTCGAAAGCGTGGATTCAGCGTGGGTCCAGTTACGTTATCAGAGTTCAACGGCAAAGGGGTTGGGGGAGGGGGGGGGGGAGTACAGAGAATGTTCCACTGAAATCATGAGAGTATATTCTCTAAAGCCTACGCTGCCCAAAGCCCTGCCTTCGTTCATTTGTCAGGGAGAAATCTTTAAGAAATCCTTGAAGAAGCACCTATTCCAGGTAGAACTTGATCTTGAGAGCCCTTAGAGGTGCCTTAAGTGTATTACAAGTGCAGATTGGTAGAAGGTATCTGCCAGATATGTAAAGATCATAGAAATCATACCATACGACGACTAGAATCGTCAGAATCCCTGATTATTCCGTTGCACTCTTCAGGGATGGATCTCTATAAGTCTTAGAGATCCATTCAATCCCTATCCATTGCAGCATACTTTTCGGTGCCGCACAGAGAGTCCTTTGTGTGTGGCTTTGTTTCTTGCACCCAAGATTCAGTCCTCGAAACCCTGGAGTCCCTGATTTCCAGCTCTGAGAAACCTCATCTGGTTGCAACATCTCAAGGCTTCTTTCTTGGGCCTCCATTTTGTTTTCTCGAAGAAATCGGGACAACAGTGGCGGGCGGGGCCTAAAAAATATTTTGTACGTAGCCCCAACGCTTCTTTGGCCCCGAACACACACACACATCCGCCCCATATATATATATATATATATATTCAGATATATATATATTTGATATATATTTTATATGTCGGCGACCAATCGGCGTCGAGCACGAAGCTGGTGGCACACGAAGGTCACACACAGAAAAAAGCGAGAGCGCAAAATGGAAATAAAATATGCAAAATATACTACAACAAAATCGCATCGGATATATACACGGGGGAGAATATATTTTAAGTTGTTGTTATTGGTTGCACGCACACACGCACACACGCACACACACCTGTCACAACTTGCAACAACAACAACAACAAACGTGGTGCAAAAGGCCTACAACAATGGAGCCGACGACTATGAAAAATGCGTTCGTAGGCGCCGCCTACCGCATGACGTCATCGGGGCACACATACGAGTGGCAGCAACGGCAGCAACGGCAGCAGCATTGCACTTCCTTCCTCTTTTCTGCAGCAGCAACTACCCCCCCGCCGCCCCACCGCCCCGCTGCCCCTCTCGCTGGGCGAGTAGTTGTTGCAATTTCTTTCTTTCGCAATAATTTTGCTCTTTTCGGGCACCACCTCCTCCAAAGAGCAAGAGGCATGCAGCAGCAGCAGCAGCAACAACACCAAAGGCCAAATGGCAAGAAGACAGCAGAGAGAGAGAGCGAGAGAGTGAGTGATAGAGAGAGAGGGAGAGCAAGAGCTAGAGCGAGAGAGAGAGACAGAGACAGAGACAGAGAGTGAGCGCTTCGGCTCCATTCGTTTCGTTTCGTTTCGTTCGCTTCGTCTTTTTGCGTTTTTTTTGTTGTTTCGATTGGGGGGCCCTGGTGCCCACCGCCCCTCCCCCTCGCCGCACCCACTCTCTGGCGCTTCGGAGGGAGCACCAACTAAGCTTGCGCACTCGCTCGCACCCATGGCATTGGCTGCCTGATGGCCAACATTCGGGGGCGTGGCCAAGTCGTGCCGTCTCGCGCTGGCTTTCCAGTAGTTTTTCTCTTTCTGCTCTTTTTTGCATGGCCATAGTTTTGGGTCTAAGCAACAGCCCCATGCGCCTCACCTCACGATGTGGCTGCCCCATGCTGGATGAATGGCTGGAGACGATGCCGGATGCCGGATGCCAGATGCCAGAGGGGTTGGCAGGCGGCAGCAGCACTTCTTACTGGACATTGGCCGGCCGTTCCCGCGTCTCTCTTTCCTTCGGCCTAGAAGCTGCGATCCGCTCCGCCACTCCTCGGGTCTCTGGGCCAAGGTGCAAGTGCAGCAGCAGTAGCAGCAGCAGGTGCCGGGTGCCGGGTGCGTGCCCCCTCCCCCTCTTTGGTTGCGTAGGCATAGTTTTTCTTTTCCCTCCTGGAGGAGGCTTCGATTGTGGCAGCAGGGGGGGGCAGCTAAGCTTCGATTGGGAAGTGCCAGAGGAGTCGGAGACCCAAGCCAATGGATGTCACGGATTGCCTGCCAGACTTGTCCAAGGCAGATCTTGGACCTACATCCCCCCCCCCCCCCCCCCCCCCCCACCCATTGGAGATCCCCTTGGGATGCTCCGATCATAAAACCTCAAGCGAAGCCGAAGAGAAATCCTCTCCGCAGCCCTCGCCCTCTCTCTGGGCCATCGGCAGGGCGCTCTCTTACGAAATGCCAGACGAACGAATTCGCCGCACAAACCGGAATGCGACGACGACGGAAACGACGCCGGCGCTCTCTTCGGGCGCTCGCTGGCTCTCTTCTGGCCCGCTGCGCTGGGCCGGGGGGGTGGCTGCGGCGAGCGGCCAGACACAGCGCTGGCGGCGCCGTTCGCGCCGACTGCGACGCCGCTGTGGCAGCAGTCTCGAGTTTCATTCATTGCACGAGGCGGCCGACACAACGCGAGTTCATTCGAATTTCAACTTTCGCCGTGAGTGCAACGTTTTCTGGGGCGCAACAACAACAACAAAAACAACAAGAACACAAGAGAACGAAACCGTGCAACAGTGACAACAGAGTGGCAACCGAAAGTTGCAGCCAGCATTTGTTGCATGCAGTGATCAAAGCACAACAACAACAACAACAACAACAACAAAGCAACAACAACAAAAAAAAACACTAGAAATATAAGTGGTGAAATATTCCGATTAAGTCTTTGGCCGATTAAACGGAACTCCAGGCGATCCCCAAGCGATCCGCAGCAACCAATCGACTCCCAGAGGCGCCTCAAAAGTGTACGTGCAACTGTTGTATGTTCTCTATTTTTTTTGTTTGTTCCGCTTTTTTTTCTTGTGCTGGCGATTATTATGATAATGATGGTGTTTTATTTATGACAAATGACAAATGACAGAGTCGGAGAGGGACGGTGAGGGACGGTGAGAGACGGTGAGGGGACGGTGAGGGACGGTGAGGGGACGGTGGGTGCACTTAATAGTCGACTGCATGAAAATCGATTTTCCTTTCTTACATTATCAAGTGGCGTCGCACAATTTTCCGCGCATTTTGCTCGGCTTCTTCTCCCCAAAGAAATTGTAATTTATTAATTTATAACACAATCCACCCGAGCCCGCACCCGCCACAGTCCCTGCCACAGAGCACACAATCCACACCCACCCAAAAAGGTCGTAAAAAGTGTTGTTGCCGTTGCTGTTGCTGCCTCCTCCATCTTATGCCCCAAAGTTGGGAGCCCAGGAATTAAGAAAACTTACGCGAAGGAGAAGCAACTTTTCCGAGCAGCACCAGCAGCAGCAGCAGCAGCAGCACCCCCGTCCTCCGTCCGAGTGGGGTGGCATGGTGGCACGCGCCAAAAACAGTTTTGTAAACAGTTTTCCACGTACCACACAGAGTTCGTAGGAGAGCAGAGGCAGAGGCAGAGGCACAGACGGCAGACACGAAACACGGCAGCACAATTCTGTGGCAGCAGCAGCTGGTAGAGAAGTGGCAGCCGCTTGTGTAATTTATTACAGACTGCATAAATAATAAATAAGCGTTAATAAATAAATACAATATAAAATATATATAAAAGTGCCTTCCGTTCCTCCGTTTGTTCCCCCCCTGCGTATGTGTGTGTGTGTGCCTCCCCCCCCCCCATCCCCATCCACGTGCAGATGAGAACCCAAGCGAAAATAAATTAAATAAATAACTAAAAAAAAAAATAAAAATAATAATAAATAATTGAAAAGCTCAGAGGAAAAGTTGTTTCGTTGCCGTTGCCATGTTTCCCATTTTCTGACATAAATTATTTATCCAAAATATATATATATATAGAAAAAAAGAAGAGAAATAAATAAGAGGAAGAGGGAGGGGAAGAGGGAGAGGCGGCAGCTCCTGAGACTCCACAACAGGAAGTGCCCAAGCAATTGGCAAACAAAAAGAAAACACACACAAAAAAAATTGATACGAAAATTGAAAATACAGATTTCCAAGAAAACAAGTTCATAAAAAAATTCCACTACGCCACAAAATTTTGTGCTTAGTTTTCGCCGAAAATTCCACTATTCCACAAGTTTTTGTCTCAGTCTCAGTCTCAGTCGGAGTCTCAGTCTCAGGCTTTCTGCATTTAGGCAATTTATTCATTTATTTTTGTTATTTATTTATTTTTGGGCGCTGACTTTTGTCCAAAAAAGAATCATCAAATTTAATGCGTGGCATGGCAGTGTGGCAGACACATGAATAAATGAGTGGCACAGTTGGGAGGGGGTTGGGGGGCAGGGCGCAGGGGGCGGGAAGTGCCATAACAATAAACCAAAAGTTGCCAAAAAGGCGAAAAGGAAAAAGCGGAAGGAGCCCCACACAAAGACAGAGAAAGGAGAGAAAGAGCGAAAGAGAGGAGACTGGGGGGGAGAGAGCGAGTATTTTCTTATTTTCGCGGGGGGGTGGAGTGGGGGGGTGGGCCAGGAGTGGTCCCTCGACACGAGACTCCGTCTCTGGTTCGGTTTCTGGTTCTCCAGCAAACAATAAAAACAAAAACACACCAAAAACAGGCCAAGACAGAGGCATCGAAGTGCTGGATACCCTAGAAAAATGATCGTTGCCAAGGGGGGAGATCCCATGGGCCTCCGTTTGTGAGGGAATTCAGGCCAAAAAGTAGCCATCGTCCCTCCGTTTCCTTTCTCTGCGTGTCTCAAACATCTGCCCAAAGGCATAATACCCTTCCTCTCCCGCTCTCCCTCTCTCGCTCTAGTTATCTGACAAAAAGGGTATAAAAATAACAGGCGACGACATCGACTCCGTGTGGCATAGCATTTCGTGGAGTCGCGTCGCGTCGCGTCGCGTCAGCCGCAAGATTTAATTGGAATGAAATAATAATAAACATAAAAGTAGCAACGGAACGAATAAGAAGAAGCAGCAGCAAAAGCAGCAAAAGCAGAATTATAATAACAATAATAATAAATATAATTAAATTTGATGGCAGAAACGGCAGCAAAAGCAAAAGCAACATTTCCACCCCGAAAGGCACAACAAATACTACATATAACCCAACCCCTCCTCCCCCCCGCCGTCACCCTCCTCCTCCAGAGTCTTTACTCCGCCGCTACCCTCACACCGCTACCCGCACAAATTCAAAATAAATTAAAATTATACAACAAAAAAAAAATAAAGGAGGAGAATAATACATATTTAAATAAATATAATAATTACTTGCGGGGCTACCCGCCGCTCCCTGCTCTCACCCTCTCTCGCTCCCTCTCTCTCGTCACAGCCATAAATAATAATATTTAATTAAATATAAATCTATGTGCGCAGGGAAGTACATACATACATACGTACATACCTACCGCTCTGCCACTGAAAGTACAAATAAATAGATATAGATATAGATATAGATATATATGTAGATACAGCAGGTACAACAATCGTTTTGGTGGAGAAAACAGAGCCACAGAAAGCACTAAAGTACAGTAGAGTGCAGCAAATAATTGTGGCAGGCCGGGCCGGGCGAGGGGGGCAAGGGGGGGGGAGGGCCGAACGGCTTCCACCGTACGAGGAGAGTAATATAAATTAAGCCGAAATTAAACATAAATAAATGTGTGCTTAGCTTTTAGCTAATAAAGCACATTTCGCACAGGCCGAATTCCAAACATAAATTAATAGAAATTCATGGAAATATTCCGCACAGATGGGGGTAGGCAGTAGGCTGGGGGCAGCGGCTGGGGGCAGGGGCAAGATTAATAGGCTTATTTAATAGAATTATGACTCAGAGATATACAGATACGGATACAGAGAGATCCCCTTACTGTGGGGGGGGGGGGGGGGAGGGATGGAAAATCAATTGTTAATTCCATTAAATATACAATAAGAAAATGTGATTCTATTCCAGAGACATTTAATGACATTTTTCCCCTTCCCCACTACCTTGCAGGGCTCGAAAACCGTTGCCAGCACAGAACCCAGAGAGCTGCAGCATTCAAAGATGTTTTGAGCAGCCAGCAAGCCAGCCACAAGTACAGTGAACCCTCTGCCACAGCATACTATCCACATAATGGACATGACCAAGCAGATAATGGACTTTGAAATAAAGTCAGAGAGCGGCGACTGCGAGGCCAACGACTACACAATGGCCACGGCCACAGAGGAGCCCAAGGGGGCGCCGGAGGCAGCCACCCAGAACGACGGGGACACCAAGTCCTCCTCCCATGAGGAGGAGGAGGCAGCCACAGGGACACAGGCCACAGCCACTGGCCCTGCCACAGAGAAGGCTGCGGCCGATATGGACGATGCGGACGAGGAGGCAGCGGAACCAAAGCAAAATCTGATCAAAGATCCACCATTGACACCGCCACCGAGGCCCCTGACCTCCAGCGAAGTGGTGGGACTGCGGGATCCCGACGATCCCGAGCTGCGCCTCCAACTGGAGGCAAAGAAGTCGCGATCGCTGCCGGTGTCGCCACAGCCGCAGGCCAGCCACAAGCTGGCGGCAGCCGCACTCTTCGAATTCGGACAGACATCGCCGGGTCGCGGATCGGGGGAGCGGACTCCCGTGAAGGCGATCAAGCCCGACCAGAAGGTGGCGCCCGCCAGGCGGCGACTGCCGCCCGTGAGCGGAGGCGCCACGGACAACCAGCAGTTCTGCCTGCGGTGGAACAACTACCAGTCGAATCTGACGAACGTCTTCGACGAGCTGCTGCAGAGCGAGTCCTTCGTGGACGTGACCCTCTCCTGCGAGGGGCAGTCGATCAAGGCCCACAAAATGGTGCTCTCCGCCTGTTCGCCGTACTTCCAGGCCCTGTTCTACGACAATCCCTGCCAGCATCCGATCATCATCATGCGGGATGTCCACTGGTCGGACCTCAAGGCCCTCGTCGAGTTCATGTACAAGGGGGAGATCAACGTGTGCCAGGACCAGATCAATCCTCTGCTGAAGGTCGCCGAGACCCTGAAGATCCGCGGCCTGGCCGAGGTGAGTGCCGGCGCCAGTCGCGACGGCGCCTCCGCGCACCCCATGCTCCCCGATCAGCGGATGTCCGTCTACGGGGAGGACGAAGAGGAGGACGAGGAGCTGGCGGCCGCCATCTTGCGGCAGGATCACGAGGACCCCGAGCCGAAGCGGGCCCGACTCATGGCGGACACCGCCCTGGACCTCAACCAGCGGCAGAGGAAGCGCTCGCGGGACGGCAACTATGCCACGCCCAGTCCGCTGCATGGCGAGACCCTCCGCCCCGACGTGGAGTCCGAGGCGTCGCCGCGGACGGCCGTCACGCCCAGCGGCCAGAGCCAGCCCACATCGACGATCGTGAGGAATCCCTTCGCCTCCCCGAACCCCCAGTCGCTGCAGGCGCACCTCCTCACGGGCACAGGCACCTCGTCCTCGGCCTCGAGCAGCAGCTCCGGAGGCACCTCCTCCTCCACGGTGGGAACGGCCGCCGTGGGCACATCGTCGTCGTCGGCGGCCTCCTCCTCCTCGGCGGGCACGTACCGCACAGCGGCCCGCAGCTGCTCACCGCCACCCCACCACCAGCACCAGCACCAGCACCACCATCCCTCGGGCAGCAACGGCAGCTCGGCCGGAGCCCTGCTGCACTCGCCCACAGGCGGGGGATCGTCGGGCGGATCGCAGTCCTCGCTGCCCCCGCACATGGCCGCCGCAGTGGCCGCTGCCGCACATCATGCCGCCGCCGCTGTGCCCCAGCAGGCCCCACCACCGGTCATGCATCACCATGCGGCGGCGGCAGCCGCCCAACAGCTGGCGGCCCAGCACCAATTGGCCCACTCGCATGCGATGGCCAGCGCCCTGGCGGCCGCTGCAGCGGGCGGCAATGGAGGCGGCGCCGCCGCTGCCCCGGCCAGCGGTGCGGTGGGGGGCTCGGTGCCCTCTGCCTCGTCGGTGGGTTCGTCGCATCACGATGACATGGAAATCAAGCCGGAAATTGCCGAAATGATACGCGAAGAAGAGAGGGTAAGTGATCTGTAGATACTTACCAAATAGAAAGATACAAGATATATGTATGCCATAGATGGGTGGGTAGACATGTGTGTTCTAAGTGTTCCCATTCCTTGGGGTTTCTGCTTGACCTCAGGGGGCATGCGCCACACCGAAGAAAAAGCTCTTTACATAATGCGCATACGCCCGGGCGGACAGACGGGCAGGCAGTGCAACGAGTGCATGCATATTAACGAAATGCATTTTAGCATTTACCTCCACAGCAACAACAACAATCGAATCGACAACGACTTTGGCGACTTAAGCGACTTACGCGAGAGAGTCTTTACCTCGAATGCGATGCGAGTCTTGTTATTTCTATTAGATTGCAAATTAAAGCTGATTTTCTATTTGTATAAGAAGCAGTTTACTAAAGAGCCAACAGGGGGGGGGGGGGGGGGGGGGGGGGGGGGGGGGGGCAGGGGGGGAGGGGCACGGGGGGGGGCAGGGTCGGGAGACATTAAGTGCGTCAGCGACTTGAAAAATAATTCAACAATTCAACAACATTTAATGCTAATGACGAAAATTGCACAATGCACGCGGGCAGGGCATACAAAATGCCAAAGACAACTCACAGCAACGATGTGGGGCACACAGAAGCGGCAAAAGAAGAGAGGGAGGGCGGGGCAGGGGGGGGCAGGAGGGGGCTTTGGCGGGAGAAGAATCAACAAAATTATAAACAATTGCCATAAAAATTGATGGCAAATGCAAACAAAAGTCGCAGACAAATATTTGATTTGTTGTGTGTTGCCTCTCGTGCATTTGATTTGCAAAATAATTGTGGCCTAATGTGTGTCTCCCCCCATTCGAGATGGATTCTTCAGCTCCACCGAAACGCTTGACTCTCCTCCGAAGGTGCATTCGTACCAGTGATCTGGCCCTTCCTACCCACCCATCCACTCCTCCTCCTCGTTGGCCAGCGTTTGGCCTCCAGACAAAGGAGGAGAAACCTTTTCCCTTTTACGACTAGGCGAATGGATGGTCGCCGCTCCCTGTTTGCTATCTTTTTGCACACAATTTACTCGAATTTCTTGTGTTAATTTATTGAAATGAAATGAGAAATAAAATCAAGAAGAAATGTACGCTCGTTCGCCCGCTCGTACGGGTAATAAAAACAAAAACACACACACGCTCACACGCACAGAGACTTGAAGAAGTTTTCGCAGTGGCATGCCCCACCCCCCGACATGCCCCGAAAATCTGTGGCGACGTCACTGAGGGAAGCCCCCTTTCGGTGTGTGCCAAAAAATATATAGACTCAAGACAGACGATGACGATGACGACGACGACGACGATGACGATGGCGATGGATGGTGCGTGTGGGGTGTCTGAGGGGGAGAGCGCTGAGAGCCTGTTACTTAATAGAGTGTCTTGCTTCTGAGAGAGGGCTGCTCTCTCTCTCTCTGGTGCTGGCTGGTGCCCCCCAACTTCCGGCCGAAAAACTTTCATTCACAGAACGTCACACAAAGAGAGAGAGAGAGAACACACAGACATGGCGAGAGCGCCAGAGAGTGAGGAGACACACACGCAGCATTGTGGCAACCCAGCATTCAGCAAAATGTAGCAAGTAGATGGCTCCATCTCGTGCGAGAGTTCCTTGACTTTTTCTTGTATTTACTTTTCCTTTTCTTCCACTTCTTTTGTACTTTTGTGCTCTCTGTGCCTTTGCCAATTGTTTTTGCAAAAGAAAATTACTGGAAATTGCCTGAAGTGTGTGGAAAACTTGTGCTTCTCTCTGCTCTGCTCTGCTCTTTGTCTCCCAAATATTAGTCATAATTTGGGCTATATGCTAAGCAGGTGGCTTGAACTCTCTTCCACAAAGGAAATGGGTCTGGGAAAGGTCTGGGGCCAGCGTGAGAATCTCCCAGACCTGAGAGCTGCGGTCTTTCCTGTGCGGTGCGGCGGGTCTTTGGGGCTCATTAGAGGCTCATTTTGATTGATTCGAGAGGCTTGGAAATAAATCAAATTTATGTTCCGTTGGGTTTTACATAGGAGGAGAGTGGAAAAGTCCCTCTTATCTGCCACACACATAAAAAACACGGCATGTAAGAGCCCCCTGCCCCTCCCCCCTTAACCAGTAAAGATTAAAGGATTTCGTAAGGCAAAGTGCCGCAATTGGAATGGGAATTATATATGAGAATTCTATAATTTACGAGCCAATTTCGATAATTTCTTTAGTTTTTTTTTTTGTGGGGGCCCACAGAGTCCCGCCATAAAATGTTGCAGCAATTGTTCTTGGCATTTTTTTTTTGGTTTTTTTTTTTGTATATTTTTATTATGTACAAAATGTATATATGTATGTGGAAAGAGGGAATTTCGTGTCGCTTTGTGGCGGGGCCACTCGAAATAAATAAGTAATTTATTTTATGGCCCTGGCGATGGACAAATGGGGGGGGCTGTAAACCCACATAGATCTTATCGCCGGAGCTAGAGTCCGGGCAAATAATACAACAATATAATCATAATAACATTTATTTGTACGTGTAATCTTAAGTCGCGTCGATTTCCACCTGATAAGATCCCCATGCCAAACCCCACACCCCCCCATCCCCCCACACCCCACACACCGCATTTTCTAATTCTATTTCTATATCATTTCGGACTCGGATTTGGGCCCTGAATGACGCAGTGAAAACGCCGTATAGCCGCACTTTTGGCCAATTCATCTTTGAGCCTCGATTTACAGGCCGACGGTGATTGTTTAAATAAAGAGACTTTCCAAAACGATTATCGTATGAGGACTGCGTATGGGGACAATAGAATTTTTATAATGCTCGTATATCTGGTGGGAATTTTAGCGGGCCAGAGTCATGGTCTGACAACGTGCCAAGAGCCCACTCGTAATTATAGTATAAATATTGTATTTTTTTTTATATGCACCACCTTTAGTGGTGGCCAATAATAGGTATTCTTTGGTTTATTGCTCGGGTGGAGAAGGACCTTTGAGGTCTTTGATTTGATATCGGAATTGGTTTCGTTTTGTGGACTTTGCATCCATCCTCCATCTACGATGTTTCCCCGGTTTTCGGTTCAAAAACTACATTCCAACGGAGGGCCTCCTCCTGCTTCTGCTTCCCCTCTAGCCTTCTCTACTCTATTCTTTCTCTCTTTCGCGTTTCCCTTCTCAATTTGTTTTCCTTATGACGATGATGATGGCTGTATTTGGGTTAAGTTTTGTTATATTTTCATTTATTTGGGCAGCCTTTTGTTACATTTTATTTATTTATTCCGCACTTACACACACGCACACGGGGAGTAACTGTATCTGTGTGTGTGTGTGCGTCGTTAGTGCAGTCGCGGCGACTGTTGTCTTTATGACGACAAAAACAACGTCGACGACGACGACGACGACGACGACTCCAATGACTCCAACGATGATGATGATGATGATGATGATGATTATTATTGCCATAGCCCGTTTCTGTTGCTGCCACTGCCACTGGCACTGCCACTGCTGTTGAGAGAGAGAGAGAGAGAGAGAAACAAGAGACACAAGAAAATTATAGGTATCTGCCCTTATGGCGCAGCGCAGCGGAGCGAAACAATAAAATATAAAATAAAATATGTACGAGTCTGTTTACGCAATTACAAACAGAGACAAACAGAGGGGCAGAGGGGCAGAGGGACAGGCAGGCAGGCAGACGGAGTCGTATCTGAGACTCAAGAGATACAATATTTATAACCAGCAGATACAACGCAGGCACAGCCACACAGCCACACAGCCACAGAGATACAGAGATACAGAGCTACAGATACACGTACGCGTCTTGCATCTTGCAGATACTTTTGCCAGCGCACAGCTGAAAGACAATGTTGCCGCCTGCCACAATTAGGGGCAGCCAGAGATAAGAGTAGTAATGAAAACTCCAAATGAGTGAAAATTATCCCCCCCACATTCCCATTTTCCGACATTCCCATAGTTTTTCAACGTGCAACTGCCACAAATGGCATTATAATTCGTGCTATAATTCGGAAATGCTTGTGCAACAGTTTCCGAAAATCCTACCCACCTCCTCCATCCTGCCACAGTGCCGCATCAAGAACCCTCATCATCTGCGTCCGTCTGTGTGTGCGGCAAACAGGGGAAATCCTGCGTAAAAAAGGACTCTCTGTAAATGCCTCTAATTTGGCAATCAACTACTACTGGAAAAAAAGGGGGAACCCCCCCTAATCCTTGTGCTGCACTTAGCGGGCAAAGCGATCGCTCTCGCTCTCCTCCGAAGGGCATAATGGTGCATGCCGCCGCACTATTGGCGGCTCCGCGCCACTTGAGGCACTGGCGTGGCATGCTACAAGCTCCAGTTTCCTTCTTTATGCAAAGGCAATTTGCTGGAAAGGTTCGATTTGCGTGTTCTGCACTGAGAGAAAATTTACATGCACTTTGTATGAAAATTTTCAGGGATTATGCCAGGACTATTTCGAGGAATATTTATTTAATATTCATATTTTAGTTGTAATTTTTAATATTTAAAGAAAGGAATATTTAAAAAAAAATCAAGTTTATTTTGGCCCAAAAAAAATGACTTTCCAACTAAAATTTTGCGCTTTTTTCCTAGATAAATTCAAGAAACTACCCCCTTTTCGCTCAGTGTACACTCCACTAGCTCTCGCTGGTGGTGCTGCTGATGCGGCTCGTGGGTTTTCCAGTTGCTTAGGCACTGCGGCCGGGAATCCTTTTGTGGCAGCGTCTCACCGGATAGCAGCAGCGGCAGCATCCTTGTGGCAGGAGCATAATTTGGTGTGAAATTAGTGGCAGTGGCAGTGGCAGGCAGGCAGCAAAGTGAGCGAAATCGAGGAGCGGAGTCCATTTCTTGTACAAGAGAGTGTCTGTGTGTGTGTGTGGGTGTGGGTGTGTGTGTGTGTGTTTTCTCGATGTTTATTTATCCCGCGATTGCATTCGATGGATGTTGCATTTGCTGCTGCTGCTGCTGCTGCTGCTGCATGCATCTGGCTGTAAACACGGGCATTTCGACCAA